AAAGTGTTAATAAAATTGTCCTCTTTGCAATGAACCAACCTGTTTTAAAAAATAACTTTTAGTTTTTGAGAAAACAATATTTGAAGTTTTGATAAAATTTTCATCAATAACTTTTTATCTCGCAAAAAGTCATGCAAATAGCAACATGCCAATACCGTAGTGATAGCCTTTTCTGGACATTACTTAATTTGATTTAACAGAATTCGTAATAACAATACTAGTGGTTAGTACAACATTTTCAGCTGTATTTCTTTTTAAACGCCATCTCTATTTCAGTAGTATGATATGTTATAAATTTATGAATCAAATCCAAGAATACTTATTTTTAAAGGCGTTATCTTTTTTATTTGAACTGAATACATTTAAGAAAGGTTTAAAATCAAACAATTTTCATTTCATATAATTTTTTTAAAGTATATAATTGTTATTGCAAAAATCGTTATAAATATTAAATTAGTATTACAAAAAAAACTTGTAAATATGTATTATAAAGAATATAATTTTTTAACTAAGATAAAATGAAATAATTAAGATTAATGAGTATTTGAAGTATTGAAAATAAAATATAGAATAAATATTATTTAATCGTAATGTCTCGTAGAATCTGTTTTGTTGTAAAGTTCAAAACGAAATTCAACTTTTTTGATTTTCTTTTCTTTTTTCTTTTGAATATTATCGGGTTGAGTTTGGCACAAATAATATTGAGTCGTTAAACAATTTTCGGCACCGTACGTATCTAGATTATAGCTCCAAGTTAAACACGTCCAATCTTGATCTTTTTGGGGTGTCCTTCCTTGGATTATTTTTCCATTTTTAGCCCACTTCCAGTTTTTACGATTCCAATCGTATCGACCACCCAACCAAACATCTTCGAACAATCTTAATTTGCGCGCGTGTAATTTTAACTTTCTATTTTGACCCGGTTTTCGAAATATTGCCAATTGCGATCTTTTATCTTCACATTTATGATAAGCTTGTTGCCAAGTTTCTTTTTCAGTACTAAAACTAAAACATTTCCTTCCAATCGGTTGAAAATCCCTTGGACAAACAATTGATATCTTCGGTTTTCCTTTTTTTGGGGGTGTTGGTGTTACTATGTAATAACCCGGTTGGTTCTTATGGGTGCCATTTTTTAATTGTGGGTGAAGCAAATGTGTTTGGCAGATGAAATATTGTTTTTCCCAACATTTACTTCCTATCCAACTAAAATGTTAATGATAAATATTAAAAATTCTATTATTATATTAATAAGTTTTTACTTAAAATTGTAACTTGGATGGGACAATAAGCAGTTCCATTCAGAGGATGCATTATTGTTTGGTAAAAATGATTGGTATTTGATTAATTTTCCGTTTAATCTCCAAACCCATTGCTTTTTGATCCAATTGTATTGTCCTCCTAACCATCTTGGAACGGAAGCTAAAAAGATTTTAAATTAATTTTTCTTTGCTTAAGTAATAAATTTTATTATGTATTGTTTTACTCAGGTGTTTAATTAAAAAAATCAGGGGATCATCAAAGTGCAATAGTTTTAGTTTAATAATAATATACAACAATCTAACGCTAAATATCAACTAGAGCTAACACTAGACCTAGAAACATTCGAGTTTAAACTCTTAAGACGGCTAATCCCGAATGATTCTAGTTCTAGGTCTAGTGTAAGTTCTACTTTTAGTTCAATAAATATGTACAACCGTCTAGCGCTGAATAACAATTAAAACTAGAACTAACACTAGACCAAATCTACAATAATCAAACATGCAGAATTGGGTTTAAAAAATCATAACAACCTTGTTTGTGGGAAATAAGAAATTATTTATCTTACATTGAATACTTATAAAATTAGCTTCAAAATGTTCTTTGTTTCATCTTTATATCTCAATTCGTTCTTGAGATACAGCTTTTTAAACTCTATTCGTCAAATCTGCCATAATCGAACATGCAGGGTTGGGTTCAAAAAATCATAACAACCGTGTTTGTGGGAAACAAGAAATTATTTATGGCACATTGAGTACTCATAAAATTAGCTTTAAAATGTTCTTTGTTTCATCTTTATATCTCAATTCGTTCTTGAGATACAGCTTTTTAAACTCTATTCGTCAAATCTACAATAATCAAACATGCAGAGTTGGGTTCAAAAAATCATAACAACCGTGTTTGTGGGAAACAAGAAATTATTTATGGTACATTGAATACTTATAAAATTGACTTTAAAATGTTCTTTGTTTTATTTTAATATCTCAATTCGTTTTTGAGATACAGCTTTTTAAACTCTATTTTCAAAGGCTCAGTGCACCTTTCAGAGTTACAGATGATGTTAATAGCTCAGCTCTGCCGTATTTGCGCATACATTCTCTCTTGTTCATGTTTTCTTATCTCTTCTTATCTTTTCGTGTTCTTTTCTGTTGTATCTAGGTTTATGTTTGTTATTTTTTAGGGGATGATTGTGGACGAACGATAGGAGACTATCGAACATCACCTTTTGTTCATAAATTTATATAATATGTAATTTTTGTACTTTCACGAATATGTATGATGGTTTTTGTGAACAATAAACTTGTTTATTATAATTATGATTCGTTACATCTACAATAATCAAACATGCAGAGTTGGGTTTAAAATATCATAACAACCATGTTTGTGGGAAATAAGAAATTATTTATGGCACATTGAACACTCATAAAATTAGCTTTAAAATGTTAACTATTTCATCTTAATATTTCAATTAGTTCTTGCGATACAACGTTTTAAATTCTATTCGTCAAATCTACAATAATCAAACATGCAGAGTTGGGTTCAAAAAATCATAACAACCTTGTTTGTGGGAAATAAGTAATTATTTATGGCACATTGAATACTCATAAAATTAGCTTTAAAATGCTCTTTGTTTCATCTTTATATCTCAATTCGTTCTTGAGATACAACGTTTTAAATCCTATTCGTCAAATAACCAAACGTGCAGAGTTGAGTTTAAAAAATCATAACAACCATGTTTGTGGGAAACAAGAAATTATTTATGGCACATTGAGTACTTATAAAATTAGCTTTAAAATGTTCGTGGTTTCATCTTAATATCTCAATTAGTTCTTGAGATACAACCTTTTAAAATCGATTTGTCAAATCTACAATAATCAAATATGTAGAGTTGGGTTTAAAATATCACAACAACTATGTTTGTGGGAAATAAGATATTATTTATGGCACATTGAATACTTATAAAATTAGCTTTAAAATGTTCTTTGTTTCATCTTTATATCTCAATTCGTTCTTGAGATACAGCTTTTTAAACTCTATTCGTTAAATCTACAATAATCACACATGTAGAGTTGGGTTTAAAATATCACAACAACTATGTTTGTGGGAAATAAGATGTTATTTATGGCACATTGAATACTCATAAAATTAGCTTTAAAATGTTCTTTGTTTCATTTTTATATCTCAATTCGTTGTTGAGATACAGTTTTTTAAACTGTATTCGTTACATATATAATAATCAAACATGCAGAGTTGGGTTTAAAATATCATAGCAACCATGTTTGTGGGAAATAAGAAATTATTTATGGCACATTGAATACTCATAAAATTAGCTTTGAAATGTTCTTTGTTTCATCTTAATATCTCAATTAGTTCTTGAGATACAACGTTTTAAATTCTATTCGTCAATTCTACAATAATCAAATATGCAGAGTTGGGTTCCAAAAATCATAACAACCGTGTTTGTGGGAAACAAGAAATTATTTATGGCACATTGAGTACTTATAAAATTAGCTTTAAAATGTTCGTGGTTTCATCTTAATATCTCAATTAGTTCTTGAGATACAACCTTTTAAAATCGATTTGTCAAATCTACA